GTAAAATAGTATAATAAAAAGGTATATAAAGGCTAATAAAAGAGCCAATATTCCTTTATTGATAATAACAGAGTAAATAAATCTATAACAAATATAAAAACAGCCAAAATGCGTTTCGCCTCACAGGGCTTTTTCAATTGGCAATAAGAAAAGAAACAAACTGGTACATAGATGCTTTTATAAATTATCTGAGCATATGCAAATTCAAAATCTGGTGCCAAAATGACGTCATCATTAAAACACAGATATACAAAGGGGAAAACAAATCTTAAAAATATTCTTAATATAATAGTCTAGGGGTTATTAAAACTTTATATTGTAAATTATTCTTGAAAACGAACATTATTTAAAATGAACAATAAAAATAGATAGAATCAATCAAATCACGTGATCGTGCCCTCGCGCGGTCACGTGGTGCGGCTGGGAGGACTATGGGAACTGTATGCTGGACGTCCAGATGATCGACGCCGGCAGAATTGAGCAGGAAATAATAAAGAACACGTGATCGCGAGCTGCCGCGATCACGTGGTATGGCTGAAAGGGGCTGTGGGAAATGTATGCTGAGGTCAGCATACTGGCCGGCAACATAATGGGAGGATAAAGAATGACGACCACGTGATCGCGAACATCCGCGATCACGTGGGATATAACAGTAAAGTATTAAAAAATGTAATCTGGGCCAAAAACCAGCACAAGGCATGGTCCCAGCATACATGGACCAAATAGCTGAATATAAAATCACAGTGCTAAACATATAACATTACACATATACATAAAAAATAAAAGGTATAAGAATATCTGACAATGTATGTTAGGCATATAATAAAAACGTATATTGAGACAGATTAGACCTCTAAGGGGTGGGCACTTTTAAGAATAGTGATGCATAGTAGAGATCATCCTAATGAAACTAATATTGCAAAGTTATTGAGGAAAAAAAAAAAAAAAAGCCTTCCTTTTGTTAAGAAAATGTATTGTATATATAAGTTATGTTGTTATTATAAAAAGTTAAAAAGATCAAAATCTGCATTTAAACCGTTGGGACAGAGAGTTTTTAGTTGAAAGACCCAATTCATCTCTCTTTTCCCTAAAAATTTTTTCATGTCACCGCCTCTCCAGGGCATGATAACTTGTTCTATCCCAATAACTTTTAAAAATCTTGGGTCTTTATTATGCATTAAAAAATGTTTGGAAACTGAATGATTGTCATAGCCTCTTTTGATGTTGCGACGATTCAAACGATTCACTGGCAAAACAAGCTGCCATCAATGGTGATACCCTAAACATTGATGATCTTATGGGTTCAATTCATGTTGAAGCCATAACTAGATGACAGGCTAGAGATAATGCCGACTTAAATGTCGTGCAATGGAGTCAAGAAGCTCCTAGTGAGGACCTGATTACTAGTCAAAAGAATGATCCCGTCATAGGCATATTCTATAGACATATAGAAGACCCTACTGCCAATCCCATCATAGATGAGGATTGCAAAAATAATGAAGATTTACGAATCATGATGAGATATAAAGTCCAATTTAGTATCATGGATGGGTTACTGGTCAGAACTTCTAAACATGGTATACAACAATGGGTAGTCCCAACTGTATACAGAGGGTTAATGCTCCAACACGCACATGATGCACCTACATCTGGGCATCGTGGTGATAAGATCACATATGAGATATTGCGTGATTATGCATATTGGCCACACATGTTAAGGGATGTTAAGACATACTGTCAGGGATGCTTGATTTGTCCGCAATATCAACCCCATGGTCCAACCCATCGTGCACCACTTCAGAAGAGGGGGGTGTCATTACCCTGGTCTGATATTCAAATTGACTTTATAGGTCCTGTAACAAGATCTTCAAGAGGTAACAAATACATGTTAACCGTTACATGTATGTACACAAAGTGGATAGAGTGTTTGCCTTGTAAAGAGAACACGAGTACCGTGTGCGCCACTTTGTTGATTAACCATGTCTTTTCCAGGTTCGGTCTGCCTCAAAGAATTGAGTCAGACAGAGGTAGTCACTTTACCAGTGAAGTAATGGCTAAGATGTGGAACATTCTAGGTGTTAAACGAAAGCTACATATTGCATACCACACTGCATCTAGCGGGGGGGTAGAGCAATATAACCAGTCTATCGTTAATATTCTGAAGAAGTATGTTAAGGAGTCTGGTAAAGACTGGGACATTAAATTGCCCCTAGTTTTAGTGGCGATTAGAGCTACACCTAGCACTGCTACCAAATTGTCACCTTTTGAATTGATGACAGGAAGAAAGATGGTTTTACCACAGCATTTACTATATCGTACTTCGGATCATAACTTGATCAATGCTGCCACTACGCATCAGTATATCGAAGATTTGCGCAAGCATTTACAGCATGCGTTTGCTTTTGCCCAAAAGAATCTAGAAAAAGCAGCGACAGGGGTTAAGACCTATTACGATTTAAAAACCACAAAAAAGGAATATGAGATCACAGATCAAGTCTATCTGTGTAACTTTGCGCGAAATCAAGTTAAGGAAAATAAATTTTTACCTTCTTGGAAAGGGCCATATGTCATCATTGACAAAATTTCCCCAGTAGCGTACAAGATAAAAATTCCTAAGGATGGTGATTTTATTGAAAAGTGGGTTCACATTAACCAATTGCGTGCTTGTCATCCTAAATCTCAATTAAGGATTATAGATGTGGATTCGGATGCAGAAGGGTGAATGACTACCCTGGATGAATGCTTGATTCACGTGGTACAGTATGATGTGAAATGTTGTGATGTGCCATGATCTCATCTACGTTCATGTCATTAACCATTTCCTTGCCATCCAATAACTACATTTTCTAAGCAGGTTACTAGCTTATTTAGCTGCTGTAGGCGAAATTACTGAAGAGTCAGTAATAAATGTAGTGAGGGATGAAGTTATAAAAATAGAATTAGAGAGAATACATATGTTGATGAATTGTAATAATGTGTTGTCCTAGGCCAAGTGATGTCACACTGTTATAAGTTTGTATGCTTAACAAACCTTGAATCATTAGTAGATAAGTCTGAAACGAGTTCCTGATCCGTGACTGTCGAAAGATGTCCAAGAAGGATGTGGCGTGTTTCTGGATCGTACTGCTCCTGTGCCAAGAGCTACGGACCGACCCGATCGCAGAGATGGGACCATCCTCTGGCATCCTGATTCAAGAGACACCAGGGTTCATCTTAACGGAGAAGAGGATCCTGACCCGACGTGTGTTCGTCAGCTTGGACCCCAAGATTTCCATCAAGAAGGCATACAACATTTCATCGATGCAGCTTCCTGAGTTACAGACTTGGTACCAGATGCACCTCCAAAGAGCACAGGACCGTGTGCGAAACATCTTGGAGCAAGCCCAGAAACCATTTGTATCCAGTTCTATTCCGATGAGCAACCGACCCAAAAGGTTCCTCACCGCTATAATTGTTGCATTAGTTTGTGCCACTGTCGGTGCAGTTGTCGCAACTGGAATGTCTGCAGCCAACTCTATTACTGTCCAAAAGCTGGATATGGAAATCTATGCGCTAAAGCAACACATTAACGATATTCATCAGGTGATAAAACAGCAAAGAACACTTCTCCAAGACGTGTTAACTATTGTGCAAGACAAAGTTGTTACAACAAATTTGCATTCGGAGTTAATTGCCAAATCCACTGAGTTGCACCAAAGTCATTGTCACGAACACACCTTACTCCAATAGTGTGTGTGACGTAGTTGTGGTGGTGAAAGGGTTAAAGTTCACTATTTGTCTGCACTAGACCGTAAATAATGACAAAATCCCCCCTTTAACACCACCCACACTTAAACATAATAATATAACTATTACTATTTTAACGCTGCCACCACCAAGACAATTTATAAATGGGGTGCCTTGGTCCCCCAGGTAAATCAATAATAAAACCCACCAAATATTACTTAGTACAATATTTAAGTTATTGCAAAAATACTAACTAGTCTCTTCAGGTAACGTGATTCTTAACCAGACAAAGGCAGAACTTAATAATAGAGAAAATTTATGACAAACTTACCGTAATTTTCTTTTCCTGGCTATTTCTCATGGCAGCATCACTTATGGGTAGCTCCTCCCTTAGCAGTCACAGGACAGGAATTAATTAGATTAATTAATCAGACTGATAGGTATAAGGAGTCCCTCCTCCCCTACACCTCAGTCCAATTATAAAGCTGAAATAAAGAATGGGCGGGAACCCTGATGCTGCCATGAGAAATAGCCAGGAAAAGAAAATTACGGTAAGTTTGTCATAAATTTTCTCTATTCCTGGCTAATCATGGCAGCATCACTTATGGGTAATACCCAAGCTTCACAGAAAAATAGGGTGGGAATAATAATCCAAGAAATTACACAAAACTGAAACACATGCAGCAAAGAAAAGTTTAATATCAACGGGATAAAGAGACCGTAGACAAGACACTCTGTCCAAAGGAGGTGGAAGGAGACTGCACATCAAGTTTGTAGTGCTTCATGAATGTCATCGGAGAAGACCAGGTGGCTGCTCTGCAAATATCATTGTATGGAACCTCTGCACAGCTAGCCCATGAAGTTGATAATGCTCTAGTAGAATGAGTTCTTATCTCCCGAGGTGGTGATATACCTTTAGAGATATACGCCTTCTTAATTATCAGAGAAATCCAACGTTTCAACGTAGATAAAGAAGCCGCCTCACCTCTCCTTGCTCCCAATGGCAAAACGAAGAGTTGGTCCGTTTTACGGAAAGACTCAGAACGTTTAAGATATGCAGACAAGCAGTTCATGACATCCAAACGTTGCCATCTAACCTCCTCCTGAGAAGAGGGGTTGGGGTAAAATGATGGAAGAACCACTTCTTGAGAGAGGTGAAACTGAGAAACTACCTTAGGAAGAAACTCTGGTTTTGGTTTCAGACAAACCCTATCTCGGTAGAATCGTAAACAAGAAGAAGATGTAGAAAATGCCTTAATTTCTGAAATCCTTCTTGCGGAAGTAAAAGTTTTATACGTCAGGAGAGTAGCATCCAAACTTTCAAGAGGAACAAACAGATCCTCAGTGAGATAATTGAGCACCATAGGAAGGTCCCAAGGAGGGGTAGTAGATCTGGAAGGAGGCCTCAACCTGAAGGCCGCTTTGAAGAACCTGGAAATCAAAGGATCCGAAGCCCATGAGATGTTGCACAAAGCTGAAAGTGCCGAAGACTGAACCTTCAAGGTGCTGAGGCTAAGGCCCTTGTCCAGGCCCTCTTGCAGAAACTCCAAACTTCAGTATTGCTAGGATGCCGAAAGTCCACATTATGAGACGATGCCCAAGTTTGGAACACATCCCAGATCCTATGCTAGCATGAAGAAGTAGAAGCCTTTCTGGAGAGCAGAAGGGTAATGATCACCGCCTCCGCGAGACCTAGTAATTGGAGTCTTTCTTTCTCAAGACCCATACCCCCATTTTGAGGCATTCCGGATGAGGATGGAATACAGGGCCTTGCGATAGCAGATCCTCCATCACTAGAAGAGGCCAAGGTTGTTCCTGGCTCATCATGGCCAATAGGGGAAACCACGGCCTCCGAGGCCAAATTGGAATTACGGCAATGACTTTCTTGCCTTCCAACCAAACCTTCCGCAGGAACCTGGGTATCATGGGTAGGGGAGGGAAAACATACCCCAGATCGAACGACCAGGGCAGAGAGAGAGCATCCTGGCCCAGTGCCTGACAGTCCGGATGGAGAGAGAAGTAATTCTCCACCTGGTGATTCTGAGATGATGCCATCAGGTCGATCTGGGGCATGCCCCACCGATGAGCAATTTCTGCAAAGATCGCTGGGTGAAGTTGCCATTCTCCCGATAGAATTTCCTTTCTGCTGAGGAAGTCTGCCGTTACGTTCTCCGAACCTGGGAGATAAATCGCCTTCAGGCCTTGAAGATAGGTCATGGCTATAGCCATTAAGGGAGCCAGCTCTTCCAGGAGCAACCTGCTCCTCGTGCCACCTTGGTTGTTCACATATGAGGCCACCACTCGGTTGTCTGCTTTGATTAGAACCCAAGAATTTCGTAGCCTCGGCAGGAATCTCAAAATGGCCTTGTAAACCGCTCTCAGTTCCCTTAAGTTTGAGTGTAGGCGACTCTCTTCTCGGGTCCAGTTCCCTTGAGTCCATACAGGACTGAAGTGGGCACCCCATCCAAAAGAACTGGCATCTGTTGTAATAACCTTCCAAGGGGGGCCTGTTGTCAAATTCCTCTCGCTCTTCCACCAGTTTAAGCCTTTCCTTACGGGAAGTGGAAGAGATATCATCTGTTCCCAATCCGCTTCCACTCTGTTGAACTGGAGAAGGAAGCAGTTCTGGGCCGGACGGAACTTCCACTGGGCCCACTTCACCAAGCCTATTGTTGAAGTCAAGGAACCCAGGAGACTCATGACTTCTCTTGCAGGTGCAGTTTCCAGAACTTGCAGCTTCCTTACTTTGTCTCTGATCTTCGTGACCCTTTCTGGAGACAGGAACACATGTGCAGACCCGGTATTCACTACCGTACCCAGGAAAACGATAGTTTGTGCAGGAACGAGGGAGCTCTTTCCCACGTTCAGGAGCCAACCATGGTCTTGAAGAATGGACATTGCCACCGACGTATGTTGAGCTACAATTCCTTGAGATGGACCCAAGATTGATAGTAGGCGTCCCTTAAGTCTATTGAGGTCATCCAGTCTCCTTTTTGACACACTTCAAGATGGTCCTCAAGGATTCCATTTTGAACGTCCTTACGTCGAGCAAGGAGTTCACGCCTTTCAAATTCAAGATGAGACGCCACTTTCCCTGTGGTTTTGGGGCCAAGAAGACCGTGGAGTAAATTCCCTGGAACCATTCCTGTTTTGGAACTTCTTCACCACTTTTTGTTCCAGGAGTACAGAAATGCAGGACCTCATGGCCCTTCGTTTGATGCCTACCGGCACCTTTGATCTTCTGAAGAATGCAGTTTTCGGGTAAGATGAGAATTCTATTCTGTAACCTTCTTTTACGATGGAAGTGACCCATAGGTCTGAAATATTGCTGGCCCATAAGGGGTAGAAGAACTTCGGCCTGGGGACCTTCAGAAGGTCTTCCCTGAGGTTCTAGCACCCCTTCCTCTGTAAGCCTTATTGGAAGATGAGTGCGAATAGGATTTCCATGAAGAATTCCTGGAAAACTCCCTTCCTGGTTTATAGCTCCTGCTGTCCCGAAAGGACCGATCCTTGAAGCGCCTGGTCTTCCAGGAGGAGGGAAAAACTCTTCCTGCCAGCTTGAGGTAAACGCCTTTTTCCCCATCAGCAGCTTTTTGAATAGCATCTTCCAGAATCTTCCCAAAAAGCAGATCCCCTCGGAACGGAAGTGCACACAGGGAAGCCTTAGAAGCATAGTCAGCACCCCACGAATGAAGCCACAAGGCCCTTCTAGAAGCCACAGACAGGGCCATGCTTTTGGCAATCATGCGAGTGATGTCCAGGGAGGCCTCTGAACAGAATTCCGTGGCTAGACTAAAGTCCTTGAAGCTTTCCAACAGATGTTCCCTACGGACACCCTGATCAATGTCGTCCTTCAGATTAGCGAGCCACACTTTCAAGGCTCTGGAGAGAGTCGTCAGTGCCACTGCCGGATGAAGGGCGGACCCTAGGGCCAAGTAGTCTTTAATCAGGTCTCCATCCATACGCTTCTCCATAGGCTCCCTGAGATATGCCATGGAGTCAATAGGCAGTGTAATTTTCTTAGCCATATGGATCACTGCAGCGTCAATTTTAGGAACTGAGTTCCACAGGCAGCAATCCACTGTAGAGTACGGATAAACACTCGCAAACTTATTTTTTAAGGTGGACTTCTTTTCAGGCTTATTCCATTCCTGAAGGATCATATCCCTGATTGGCGCATGCACCGGGAAAGTAGGTCTGTTAGGCTATAGGTCCTCAAAAAACCTGTCAGCCTCCTTCAATTCATATCTTTCTTCAGTGAGACTAAGCGTGTCTCTGAGAAGGGTAATAAGTCTATCCATAGACCTGGAGTCAAGAGACGTGGAGGCATATTCAGCTTCCTCCTCACCTTCATCTGATACCTCCCAGACATCAGGGTCCTCATCAGAGCTGGAAGACTGAGGTTCCGCTCTGCGTCTCTTACTTGGACCACTAGATCCCGTGGTAGCCATAAAGCCCTCAGCAATAGCCTGAGAAATCCAGAGCTTAAGGTCGTCTTGTGGAGAGCTCCTACTGGGGGCATCAGCGACTTCCAACAAGCATTCCTTGCAAAGGTTCCTTCTATTCGGAGCAGGCGAAGAACAATTAATGCATTTATTTGACTTTTCCCGTGATTTTCTCGCTGGAGAATCCAAATGAATGCTGGGGCTGGAATGAAGCCATATATGACATATATTACAGGCTCAGTATGGCACTCTTTTAACAACACCCCCCCCCAATAAAATTAAGAAATGGCTCACCTATGTTTTCTAGAGAGGGATCTTGCAGAGGCAGAGGCAGAATCCATACTATAAAGAAGAACGAAAGGAAAATCCAAGACCTAATTCCCCAAAGGGATAAATAGACAAACTGACAAAGCAATACTTCCAATAAGTAGTAAAAACAGCAATCCTACCTTAAAGAGCAGAACATCCACTATGCAGCCAGGCAGCAGATAGGAGTAGCTGGGCACAAACTGGACACCAATGCTTTCCCAGGGGTAAACCAACATAAGGCTAGCAGATATAGCGCCAAGGCAGCTGTATTAGATGCTTTAAAAAAGGTCCGGGCAGCGAACAGCTGATTGCCCGGTTCGCGCATGCGCAGAGCGCTGGAACGCACGCTATGCGTTCCAAACGCTCGCGACCGGCATGCAAATTACTTCCGGTTTCGCCGGAACCGGCTGCGAGCAACAAACAGTCGGCTGGAACGCATAATGCGTTCCAGCCCCCAATGCCCAGGCACACAGGGAGCCCCAGGGAGCAGGGAAGCCTGCACAGCCTCACATTAACCCATCAGAGGCTGGAACAGAGCCAGGGAGCAGGGAAGGCACCAAACAAGAGGCAAGAAACAGATCCTAAAGGACAAGACCCCTAAGCATGGATTCAAATACTGCCAACAAGGTATGGGGGGGGATATATAACCCCAATTAGTAGGGGCAGGCTGAAAACAGGGGGAATTTTTAAGGCTAACCAACCCCACAAATAAACAGAAACAGTGTCTCCCTCAAACACTTACTTCCCATGCTGCAGTTCAGTACTTACACTGAACCTGACCCAGTTAGTCCTGCTCATGCAGGCTGTTTACTGGGTCCTTCAAATGAAGAGAGGCTGAACTTCATTTGGAACGAACCCACGACAAACGCAGGAAGGTGGCCATAAAACAAAATGTAAAAAGTCCTGTAGAACTTGCTAAGGACAGGAAAAAAGACTGAGGTGTAGGGGGAGGAGGGACTCCTTATACCTATCAGTCTGATTAATTAATCTAATTAATTCCTGTCCTGTGACTGCTAAGGGAGGAGCTACCCATAAGTGATGCTGCCATGATTAGCCAGGAAATGAATGTTTATTATGAGCAAAAATTTATCACAGTGCATATAAAAATATATGATAAACAAATTATTTACACCAACAACAGATAAAAACAAAAAGGATAAAATACAGAAGTCCTAATTACTCACTTAGGTTTTCAAAGTACAATATTCTGTCCAGGGGGTCTCTGGCAAGGAAAGATGGTGACTCACTCAAAATTAGATCTTGGCCCCAAGCAAGTACACAAACACCCTTCAGGATCATTAGATATATACCCTGTGGTTTATCAAGTCTTGCCCAGGGGTGGAGTTAAGGAGTACCTACAGAAATAATAACTGACCACCTCCTTTGTTCCAGACCACTGTCAATCCAAATGGAAACATTTGGCTCTATCTTCTTTTTTGTACCTGCCACAGAAATAATAATTGCATCTACAAATTTGTTATTATTTTCCCATTCCATAGACATGTTGCACGTCCCACCCACGATCCAATAGGACGGACATCACAATTCCTTTCCCTAGGGTCAAGTTAGGCCACTCATGTTTGGACTTGGTTAGAAGATGGCACTTGTCACATTCCAAATATAGCAAAAATGAGGCTTAATTATTATTCTGTGGGGGTAAATATGAATGTTTTTGTCCTTTGGATATGATACTAGAACAAAGCTAATGGCATTTACATATCAAAGAGATTTACTCATCACTTACAAGAGACATTCAGACTTTTTCCAAGTGTAGAACCTCACACCTTGCAGACTTCACATCCATATAGTAAAATCCTTTTCACATTGCTATGCCATTCACACTACCCCTTCTGTCATCTGACCTCTGTGGGGGTCCCAGCTTGTAACCCCTGTTGACCTCAGCAATAGCATCTCTGTAATTTGTGCCATTTACTACACAAATTACATTAAAAGATGATATTCCATAGTGTAATAATAAATTATACACCCTTGCCGTGACAGTCATGACTTATTTAAGCGTGAACTTCTATTTCTGCATGACCCAATATTG